ATTTGCCCCGTTATGACCTCTTTCGCCCCATATAAGGGAATCCAAGACAGTCTTGAATTCTGGATTCGAAGCAGTGGATTCCGGATTCCATGTAATGGATTCCGCACTTTTTCATTTAAATTTGGATTCCGGATCTCAATCGTGAGTGGGATTCCGCGGATTCCTTGAACTGTAGTCCGGATTACAAAGCCCAGGATCCGGCATTTCACCAGCAAAAATCTCCTAGATTCCAGAATCTGGACTCCCTTACATGGGGCGACCTCTTGTTTGACAGCAAATTGCATGGTGAACTTTACCTCGAGAGCGAAGCATAAACTGCTCAAGACGTTCCCCTGGCAAAGGTTCTGTTGAAGGAAGCGTACAGTTTAACTATTGAGCTTATATTATTAGAGGTTATTAGTAGTGTGGACGCGAATCGATAGATGCGTTTTCGATGACAACGACGGGGGAAAGCATTGGAAATCATATCTCCTCTACACTAAAGCCTCAAACTTGAGACTGGTGATTTTATTACTTACGTTTCTCATCTTCTGCATAGGATAAGCGAGGCAGGCTCTCTGAAAAAAGGTAGTAAAAAGGATTTGAAAATTATGTTTAAGAGCAATAAGTGACGAGACAACTGCTTTGGAGACTTTAGAGCACAGATTATAATCATTCCAAACGTCAAGGCTTACTGATATGTTTTAAATCAAGAGTGCGCGTGTACCAGAAAAAAGGTCACGGTCACGTGATAAATGTGTGCCAAATTCCATTTCAATTTGATCTGTTTTGCTTTTGTTATCGCCAAAGAGCATTTTTTTTTATGCGAAGACTTTGGTCTCAGCCTACATTTAACTACTTGAGAAAATAAAATTCGCAAATGCTACCTTGTGCCTGATTAATTATTTGCCCCGTTATGACCTCTTTCGCCCCATATAAGGGAATCCAAGACAGTCTTGGATTCTGGATTCGAAGCAGTGGATTCCGGATTCCATGTAATGGATTCCGCACTTTTTCATTTAAATTTGGATTCCGGATCTCAATCGTGAGTGGGATTCCGCGGATTCCTTGAACTGTAGTCCGGATTACAAAGCCCAGGATCCTGGATTTCACCAGCAAAAATCTCCTAGATTCCAGAATCTGGACTCCCTTACATGGGGCGACCTCTTGTTTGACAGCAAATTGCATGGTGAACTTTACCTCGAGGGCGAAGCATAAACTGCTCAAGACGTTCCCCTGGCAAAGGTTCTGTTGAAGGAAGCGTACAGTTTAACTATTGAGCTTATATTATTAGAGGCAAAACGCTCATACAAAACAATAAGTTAATTGCAACACTATCTACGCTGCACAATAGACTTTATCAATGGACTTTATTATGAGCGTGTGTGGTAAGAGGGTAGGGTGGAGGGAGGGGGGCCGAAGCGGTTTTGAGCCCAGCGAGAATAAAACGATAGTCTTGGAGCGCTTTAGTCTGCTACACAGCCGTTTTTAGTGTCGTCACGCAACGCTCCTTTTAGTGGGGAGGAGCGTTGCGTGACGACACTAAAAACGGCTGTGTAGCAGACTAGTAGCGCTTACCATTGCATTGTTTTTGTCGCACCGAAAACAGAAATGGCATTGAGTTGTATCATTTACAAAATAACAGTAAATCTTTCGCTTTCTCTCCAGAGAAAACCTGGCTCTTGTAATCCAAAACAAATCGTACAGAAAATTTCGGTCGTTACAGTAAAAGCGGGCGAAAAAAAGTAATACATCCGAAGGCATAACCACTTTTTTCCCGAAAACATTCCACTGGGATGAACTGTTCCATTTAAATTTTTCCCGGAATTACCGGATTTTCGTACAAATGGTAAGCGCTCTTGTGCTTCCGGCTGGGGCTGCAAACTGATCGCACCCGCCATTAAAGGTGGTTGTTCAAGTTAAACCAGTATCCAGCAAATTATAGTGGCTTAAAGGTGTTAGATCCTGCGACCCTTCGAACACATGTAGGCCATTCCGAGTTTCCAGAACTCTCACTTTGAAAAAGAGGCTAGGTGCAAAACCTTTTTTCTGAAAATGAGTTTTAATTGCAGAAGAAAAAAAACATGTTCGTTTTCATATCATTGATAGCACTTAGCTTCGCTTTGAAACATGCACATACGTATGGGGCAACTCCGAATTGGCCTATTTTTCTGTGAGTAGGAAGATGGAGGCAGGAGGCTTTGACAAAAAAAAAAACTAATAATAATTAATTGCGTTCAGAAATTCAAAAGGTACGCGTTAGAAGCTTCGGAATTTGGTGGGCTGTTTTAATTAGGTATTAAAACGCTTTTCAGATCTTGCCTGTCAACGCCTTGACAATCTTTTGCATAAATAGAATTCATAACTAAGGCCGTATCGCCTTACATCATAATTTAGCGCAATAGACATCTCCTTAGATTGTAGTGTTAAATCTAAAAACCAAGAACGATTGCACAAAAAAAAGTTCAAGACCATTCTTACGTTTTTATTATTTTTTCTTTTTTTATTGTCTTTTGTATGTGCATGTGTGTGCTATTTCTTTATGTTTTGCTAAGATCATGGGATAATTCGCCACAGAGTATGACCTTTCAAGATGATATGCTGCTTGTTTTTTAAATATCTTGTTTCCAAAACAAATTTCAAAACACTTGTTTCTGAGGGTATAACAAACTAGACTACGAGCAGTTTCACTTTTTTGTGTAGTCCATCGAGCCCTCGTTTGGGCGCGTCTCTCCCGCGGCTTCGCCGCTCCCGCGCGCGTGGACTGCTCTCACTAAATCTAAAGAAAAAGGGAGACTGACAACAAAACAACCGTTTAAATGGAACGGTTGAAGTATCCAAAAGCTCACATTGCTATTAAAATCACTTTTTAATTATGGATCATTATCAGATAAGGAGAATTTCTATTGGACCAAAACTATGATGACCTCCAAATGAGCATCACTGAGCAGTAATACTGTGTATTTTGCGTGATACTGTTTGTTCTCCGAATACTTTGTTAATTTTCATGAATATGTTCCTTGGGCGACCAAGATTGAGTTAGCTCATAACTGTTGACACGCTTTTTCACGAGAATTCGGCAGTTTATGATTGATATCGAGATAAGCTAATGAAATAACAAGTACCTCACTTAGTAAACAAGCCAGCGATATTTGGGATTTCATTTTAGTGCTTGAAAAATTCCTCACTTCTTGGGTCAAAACGCATGAAAACGTAGTCTTCTGTTTGCAGTATACCTCAAATCAATTCATGATAACCGCCTTTCGTAAAAAGAAATTATGGGACTAACTTTTAAATACACTCCATAGAGTTAAAAACTAAAAGCCCATTATAGAACAGAACTATTTACTCTGGACAAAAAATTTCGAACACAATAATGCAACTCATGAATTTAACCACTGTTTACTGTTTCTTTAGGATTAGTTGAGTATTAGTTAATGATATAATAACAGGCTATCTGTAAAACCCACACATCTTGTTTTGCTCGAAATGCTATCGATCTTTCACCATATTAAATGGGTCTAACTGTGGCAGAAACAGTCTAGAAATACGTTTGATTTTAGGGACACTCAAGCATCTGTGTTCATTTTTGAAGAAGGGTAAATGCAAATCTTTGTTATTGGATGAGAAAACATGTTACTTACTGGGATAGGATGTTCGCTTGAGATACATAGCATCACTTCCAAGCATGGTCACGGTTACGGCAATGAGCAAAAAAAGGAAAGCTTTAGCTGCCATATTTTCCTTAGTACGGTCTGCAAGTGCTTCGCCGGAGTTACACCGCTCGATGATTGATCGCGATAACTGAACGCC